GGCGGTGGCTCCTGGCTCAGGGCAGTAATCCTGCTCACAATTAATTGGCTTTTGTTGGAGGAGAATGAATACCATCTCATCTTAATCTTCTTCATTATTCTCCTTGTTCAGCAGAGTCAACACAAGATTAGGTTTAATTTACGGGGAAAAAAATAGCAAAGTCATTACTCACCAGGAGATGGGGATTGGATCTGCCTGGGTGTTCTGTGTTCACTGCAGGCAAAGGGCTCTGAGGAAAGCACAGGGCTCTGCCGAGTTGGGACGGACTGGAGAGTCCAGGTCCCCAGACCTATTTGGGGGCTGGACCTCTGGAGACCACTGATCCTTGGTAGTCTTATCGGACTTGGGCCTCTGAGGATCCAGCCCTCCTAAATGCTTCTCAGGAGCTTCTGGAGTAGGAGCAGCCCCAAAGCAGGAAGGGGCAGCAGCCTCTCAGACCCAAACTCGGCCCCAGGCAACGGGAAAAAATCAGGCTTTGGATTCAAATCCTGCCTTCTGAGGCCCCTTCCTCTGCAGACGAGCCCAGTCTGGGCACTACCTTGGCAATGCTGACACCTACTGGTCATTGGAGGAACTGGTCCTTCCCTCCCTCTCTGATTTTGTAAAAATCCAGACTTAGTCAGTCAGTCAGAAGGAGCAGGTGGACTTTTTTATACGGAAAAGTGGCTGAACTTATGGCTCCACCAAGAAATATAAAAGAAAACTCATTTTTCCTGCCCTGACCCCTTAACCAAAATGGCCAATACTTAGCACCCCGTTCCTCTGCCTGGGGCAGTGATGAAAGCCGTGGAGTCCTGGGCCTTGTCATCTCCTGCCTCTTCACCTCTGAGTCCCTACCTCCTACCCCGGCTCTGTGCCCTGGCAGGTGCCCATCTCTGACCCTGTACCATAGTGAGTTGGCTAGGACTTGAGCTGAAAACCCGGGTCAACTGGAGCTGAAACTGGAAATCCCCAACTAATTACTCACTGTATGACAAGTTATCTAAAATCTTGGAGTCTTACCTAGTTCATCTGCAAATTTAAAATGTCTGTATCTACCAGAGAGGGCCGTTGAGCAGATTAAACTGACCTGCGTGTGCTTAGCACGGGAATTGGCACCTGTAAGGCCTCAGCAAATGTCTGTCATTGCCGCCCTCCTCCTCGTAATCGTCATCCCGTTCATCCTGTTTCTCTTCAGAAATTTGGTTTCATCAACTAGACTGTAAGCTGCTGATGTCCAACTTCCCACGCCCCTCTCCTGGTAGACAGGGCAAAGGTTTTTCCTTAAAGACACTGATATCTGCTTCCTGTAGAATGTATACCTTATGACAGAACACATGGCAGGAACTCAGGCAACTCAATTCTGCCCTCCAGAACTCTGAGGATTGCCTGCCTACATCTCCAACCTCATGTTGAACTATTTGCCCACTTGCTTAGGGAGCTCCAGCCATACTGGCTGCCTTTCTGATCTGTAGCTAAGTTCATTCCCACCTCAGGGCCTTTGCACTTACTGCTCCTGCAATGTTCTTCCCCTAGATATCTGCATGTCTGGTTTCTCTTCATCATTCAAATGTCAGTTCCTAAGAAAGGTCCTCCCTGACCACTCTGACCAGAGTGAGTGGTCGCCCTCACTCTCTATTTTATTTGCTACAATAGAGGTCAAGTACCGAAGTGGCTGAGCAGAATTCCAGGGCCACCACTTATCAGCTGTGTGGTTGAAGGCAAGTTGATTAACTTTTCTGTGCTTTTCAGTTTTCTCATCTGAAAATAATAATAGTTTCCACTCCATAAGGTTATTATGATGCATCAAAGCCCTTAAAGTGCAGCCTGATATATTAAGTGCTATATCATGTAATTATCCTATTCATTTATTTAGATGCTTGTGTTTATGTTTCTCCTTTTAGACTGTGTATTCCAGAGGGACAGAATCTTTGTCTGTTTCATCCCTGTCTGGCAAATAATAGGTACTCCATAAGCATTGATTGTTTAGTAAAGAATCTTAGGGGACATGCAGGCCTCTCCTTAACCAAAGTTCAGGTGCCACTGAGAAATGTAGCTAATCTACCATCCTGGCTTCTATACCTCAGGTGCCCCCTGCTGGACAGTGTGTAGGTTTGCCCTTGAAAGAAGTTGATGGCCTCTGTCCTCTAACTACTGTTTGGGCACTGGTCTGGCTCTGCTGTCTAGAATAGGGGACGATGAAGCTGAGGGGTTAAGAGCACAATCTTTGGAGCCACATGCACCTGGATTAGAACTTGAGCTTCTCTGTTTACTGTGTGTCATCTGCCAGGAAAGTCTCTGGTCCTCAGTCTCCTCGTGTGTAGAACAGGGATAATGATGCCCTCTCCCCCTTCCCCATCTCCCTGGGTTACAGGGGGTGTTGTGACAGGATGTGTCCTGTGCACAGGGAGCCTTGAAGCCCCCCCACCCACCAACCTTGGCAGCATCAGCCCTCTGACAACTTAGGAGCAACTGTCTTGTCTTCCTGAGCTAAATCCCACCAGTGTGTCCCACTGCCCCTCCAGTGACAGGCACCCAGGAACAGTGGTCTAGAGCACTCAATTATTCCAGCCCTGGGGCCTCAGGCAGAGAGTTTGGCCTCTGAGCTTCCAGCTCCTTCCTCTGAGAACAGGCAGTTGGCTGGGGATGGCCTCGCTGGGCTTGTGCCCTCCTACCCACTCCCTCCGCACCTCTCCAGCTTTTCTGTCTCCCCTCAGCCTTCTCCTGCCTCACTCCACATTTGTTCCCACTTCTCACCAGTGCTCTTGGCTTTGTCTAATGGCTACATACGCTGCCAATCCTGTATCTTCAGCCTCTTTCCTGAATGCCCCATAGTCGGGGAAGCTCCCCCCCCACCTCACTGCAGCACCTTCCATGCCTCCGTATTCCTGCCTGACATCCAGGCCTCACAAGCCCCAGACCCGACTCCGGGCCTCTCACGCCCACTGCATCTCTCCATCCAGCCTCCCCCATGGCCCTGGTGTGGGCTCCGGTCCTCTCCCAACTTAGCCTCACCCAGCTGCCCACACCCCCAGCCTAGTCTCTCACCCTGAGCTATCACCTTACCTATGGGAGCTCACAGGGGTGACCCTCTTCCTTCAGGCTCATCAAACCAGGCCCCCAGGGCAAGGCATAGCCTCCCCCTACTGGCAACTCAGTTGGATGCTGATGGCATTTTCCCCACAGGACTGTGAGATCCCCTAGAAAGGACTGAGGGTGCCCATGGGGCAGGAGCTGTGCCTCTACCTTCAAGCTGGGCATTCTCTGAGGTCAAAGCATTGCCTCCTCTGGCAGACCTAGGATGCTCCCAAAGCAGGGACTATGCATCTGCCGTTAGACTGGAGGCCCCCCCAGGACCTGGATATATCCCTTCCCAGGGTGCCCCATCCAGGATGTGACCAGGATGATGACCCTTCCTGGCACAAGGAGTGTCTTACTCACCTCTGTAACTTCAGGCCCCTGATCAGGGCCTGGCTCGGGGCTAGGGCTTCAGGAATTGTGAGTGAGTGAATGAACCAATGAACAAATGCAGGCAGGCCCCAGCTTAAACCCTGAAATCCCGCTGATCAGCAGGTGGCATCAGGGCTCAGAATCAAAGGAAAGCTGGAGGGGCATGGAGATTTTATTGGTCATCATTTCAGACAGGAGAACAGATGTTTCAAGACCCTCAACCACCCCCAGGACCAGCAGCTGAGCATCCCGGGGAAGGGCCAGGCTTGAGAGCTGCTAGGGAGGCCAGAAAAAGAGTGCCTGGCCCAGAGCCTGACACCAACCCCCTTCCCTCCTCCCCTCCCCTCAAACCAGTGCCAGGGGCCAGCCTCTGGACAGGGCTTGGAAAACGACTGATGTGACTACATGCTAATGACTCCTTTTCAATCCAATACCAGCCAGGGAAGGACAGCAAGAAGCGGGCATGAACTGAAGAGTCACCAGACTGACCCCTTCTGTGCTCCTCCCTACCCCACCCACCTCCCTGGAGTCCTCCCCGGGTCCAGAACCCTAGATGAGGGGCTGCCACCACCCAGCACCCTGCCTTCAGAGGGAATGGGGAGGCGATCAAGAGAGGCCTGAAAGGCAGCCCCACACACCCTGTTCTGGGCTCAGGCAGCTTGGGTGTCAGTCAGGCGCCAGGCCCCCACTCCCCCGTGCCCTGGCCTCACAATCCCAGCCTTTGTCCACCCGGCCCAGGCCCGGCAGGCTCTGCCCTGGCCCAAGGGCGCCTGGAAACCAGAGCAGCTGGAGCCCCACCAAGTATTTTTCCAGGCTGGGCCAGGGGCCCTCAGAAGACAGACAGGGATGCAGAGGGAGGGGGGTTCATTCATCCATTTGTTCATTCATTCCTTCTTGGACAAATAATATTTATTGAGCGCCCACTTTGTGGAAGGCACTGTGCTAGGTGCGGGGGATTCGGCGGTGGGCCCAGCGCAGGCCCCCACCGTCATCCGGCTTATTTTTCCAGATGCAAATATACACCAACAAAACCCCTTTCTCCTTGGTGTGGGGGCTGGGCTGGAGAAGCAGCGGGCGGGTGCACAAGGGGTGGGGAGGTGAGGCTGCTGACCACTAAAGCTATCTAACCCCGGGCTCTTGCCCCTCCCGGGCAGCTGGGGGAGGGGTCACTCAGGGCTCCACCCACACGCTGCTGTTGGTCACCCGGGCCCCGAACCAGCCCTTCCAGTAGACCGAGTCCTGCCCCGCGTGTTCGAAGCGGACGAAGCGGACGCCGGGCCCGTAGTCGGTGAAGGTGTGGGAGATCTGGCGGTGGGGCCAGGGAGGGGCACAGGAGGGGGTCGAGGGATTGGGCGGGTCAGGCTGAGGCCCTGAGGCCTCCTTCAGCCATCCCACGCTGGCGTACCGACCCGCTTCGAGCCCCCCTCAGTTTCTCAGACCCACGTCCCTCCACACCTCTCAGCCACACCAGCTCCTGCCCCGGCCACCCGCGCTGGGGGCGAGGTTTTCACGAGCCCCGCCCCCTCGCACCCAGGCACCGCCCCGCCGCCTCCGCCCCGCCTCTGGCTCACCTCCGTCCATTCTGCGTCATCGCCATCTGCGGGCACTGCTACCTGCCCGCTGTTAAACTCGGCCAGCACGTCCTCGTGCTCCGACAGCAGCTTCACCGTGAGCTCATACAGGCAGCCGGCGTCGCTGCGGCCCGAGTACCTGCCCCACAAGAGGGAGAGGGCGCCAGGGGCCGGCCTCAGCCCTGCTGATTGCGTCCTGCCGGCCGGTCCCTCTACAGCCCTGCTCTACTACCCCGCCGGCGGGTACTACCAACGCCCCCATTTTACATATAAGGAAACTGAGACCAGACACAAAAAGTTCTCACCCAAAGTCTGAACCCAAGGACTAAACCCCCAGGCCAAAGCCTGTCCACGTTTTGTTTGGACCGCAGATTTTTTTTTAATTTGCTAAGATTTAAAACTCAGGAAGAGAAGTGGATTTCCACCTTCTTCTGAAAACCTGTGGCCACAACCACTAGAGCTGGGACGCAGTGGCCCTGAGACAGGGCAGCCGGCTCCAGTTTGCGCCCACCCCCATGCCGCTCACCAGTCCTTCGCCACGATGGCCGGCTGCGTGGTGTCCAGCAGCTCCTCCCAGTAGCCCTCAGCCTGCAGATCAATGACCTGCGCTTTGCGACACCACCTGGGGAAATGGGGTTGGAAGAGGGTGAAGCCCCCACCCCACCCCGCCGGCCCCCTTGCCCTCTATCCCCCTTCTCCTTACTCAAAGGAAGAAGCGAAGTACTTCTTGACGTTCTCATCGTGGACGAATTCCACTCCACTGTCTCCGGGCAGCTCCTCCACCCTCCAGCCGTCCCCACCGTGCTCCACGTCGCTCCAGCCCTCTAAGTCCTCTGTAGGAACACAACAGCCCCACCCTGGTCACCCATTCCCTGCTGAGAGTGAGTGTGGAAGGGCCGGTTCTTGCCCCTAGACCGGGGGTCGGGGATGAACGTGGTGCTTTAATGGTTACGGGGTAGGCAGATGCTGGAGGGATGCATTTCTCGTCTCCAGATCCTCTCCCCCTCCTGGGAGGCTCCTACACAGAGCCTGCCTTGCCCCAGGCTCACTGAGGGTGGAGGGACCTGGGAAAGAGACGACCCCCAGGGCGCAGGTGGCAGAGGAGATAATACCTTATTTACTGGTGCTACTCTGCGCCGGGCACTGTGCCGAGCTTTCTCTCATTTAATCCTCAAAACAGGCTGGCACCGTTATGGCCCATTTTGCAGAGGGGCAGCAGAGGTCCCCAGGCACGGCCCCTCACCTTCCCCGCACGGGTTGCGCAGCAGGTTGCGCCGCCGCTGGCTCAGGAAGTAGAATTGCTGCCAGTGGTCGCGCCCGTCCTCCGCGCCGCCCTCGGGCACCAGCCCCTCCTGCTGACACTTGAGCAGCCACAGCGGGGCGCCGTCCACGAGCTCCTTCCAGCGCAGACACACCAGGCGGCAGGCCTGCACCAGCTGGGCGGCCGGCAGCTCGGCCAGCACACGCAGCAGCAGCGGCTCGGGCAGCTCGTCCAGGGACGCCGCCGCCGCCTCCTCCTCTTCCTCGGGGCGCTCCTCCCCGGCGATCGACTCCTCCGCGCACCCCTCCTCCGGCTGCTCCTCGGGGCCCACCTCCTCCGGCTGGCCCACGCTCTCTGCGGCGGAGGGTGGAGCGGGATGGGGGGCAGTGCTGTGACTTCCCCCAGTTCCCCTCCACGCCCCAGAACTGCGATGTGCCGGATACCCTCCCGCCATCCACCCTGGGACAAACTGCAGCTGGGGCTGGAGATTCTGTGACCAGACTGGTGCCCAGTGGAGATGGCCTAAAGGTGGACAGGGCCACAGACCGGCCCCAAGTCCTAAGAGTGTTTCCCTGCAGGGCCAGTAAACTCCTGAACAGATAACAGCAATTGATAATATCATTAACGGCATCCATCTGTAGGGCTGCCTTAACGTTTCACACATGAACTCCTTCAGTCCACCAGCCTCCCAGATTCCCGCTCCCTCACCTCCTCAGGGGAGCCCTCCCTGACTTCCCCCAATTACATCCTCTCACTGCTGGACTTCCATGCTTCCTAGTTTTTGCCCGGAAGGTGTGATAGTTTATAAACACCTCTCTGGAGCCTAGACTAGATGAGAGCAGGAACTAGGTCTGGGAAAATTCACTGCTTCACCCCCACACCCCACCACCCCAGGGCCTGGCAACTGGAACCTTGCCTGGCACACTGTCAGCAGTTAATGTGTATTAGGCACTTAGCAAGTGTCAGGCTGTGTTCTAAGCATTTTAATCTTCAAATCCTTACAGCATCTCTTCAAGGTTGTTCCTATTGCTGTCCCTATTTTATTGAGGAAACTGAGACAGAGAGAGGTGAGACCACCCAGGATCACACAGCAAATGAGTGGTTGGAGGCTGGACTGGAACCCAGGCAGTCTGGCTCCAGAGCCATCTTTAACTACCTACCACAGCCTTGATAAAATAATTCGTTTTGGATTTGGAGGCACGTTATGATTTTGATTTTTGCAGATGAAAATACTCAGGGACAGAGATGTGAAGTGACTTGCCAAAGGTCACACTGTTAGTATTAGGGCAGGGGACATTGGGAGCTCAGGCCTGCAGGGAAGGGAAGAGGGGGGCTGGAACCCCTGCCAGCCATAGCTCTGTCTCAGGGGTGGGGTGGGGGGAGGCTCATTTGAAGAGACCATGTATACCAGAGATGTAATGACAGCTTGAGAGAGTAGGCTTCTTCACCCCCTTCTTTTCCTTATCCTGGACCCTCAGTTTCCTCATCTATAAAATGGGGGTAACTGCAGTGCCGGGCCCTTTGGACAGTGCTGATATTCAAACCCCTGAGGGGGTCAGGAGCTGCGAGCCGGACTGTCTCCTGGAACCCAGCTGGACCATGGAAGCCTTGAGCAAGCAGATCCTGAGTGTCCAGTGTCTCTGGGCAGGGAATGACAGTGGGGAGGACACGAGGCCACTCTGGGTTAGGGGGGAGGCCACACTCTCAGACCTGGGATGGCGGTTCTAAGGGCTGGGAAGCCAAGGCAGTGGTAGGAACAGGTGGGCACTAGGGTAAGGGAACAGGCAGGGCCTAGACCCAATTCTGGTGTTGTCAGGACCCCACCTGCCAGCCCTTTATCTCCTCACATGCAGCATTCTCTCCCCGCTCCCACATGGTCAGACCCTTGAAAGATGAACACCTGTTTTTCAGGGCCCAGGTGCATGGTGAGTCCTCAGTAAATATAATTCAGTGTATCTTACTAAGCACAGCATTTCACCTTCATTATTAGTGATTTTTTTTGGCACATCTTTACCATGTGGGAATTCACCCTTTCTCTTTTGCAGAGGGAAACTGAGGGCCCAGAGAGGCTTGCTGGCTTCTCCTAAGTCATATCATACAACAGTGGGAAGGCAGAGAGGACAATGCCAGGCCCTGAAGCTTCATGGCCTTCGCATTCTGCTGCCCACAGCTCTCTGGAGAGCTGGGCCCAGCGGCCTCACCTCTCTCCCCTCCCCCTGCCCTGCTCTGGCCCTGGTGGACACCTGATGCTCCCCCGAAAGGTGCACCTCACCCAGTGCCCTCTCCTGGCCCCAGGCCTGGCACTCCAAGCCTCAGATCTCATTACAGGCCCCCCACCCCCTCTCTAGCACACACAACTCCCCACATTGTTGCTGTCGGAAAGTTATCTGGCCCCTGGAAGCTGCCTCCCAGGCTGATTCACTCACCTGGATTGGGCCCTGGAGTCCAGGGAATAGCTGGGCCCTGGGAAAAAGCAGGAGTCCATTCTGGGGCCCTATAAAGGGTGTGGTAAGGGGGCCACATACTGGGAATGGGGACTGAAGAAGCTAGAATTTTCAGGGCTAGGAGAAGGAGGCTTGGCTCAGGAGCGTGCATCATTTCCCATTGCCTCCTCTAAGCAATGCCCACTCTCAGACGGGCTTGCTGAGGAAGGGGTGGCAGAATCTGCAGGCAGGTCTCGTTCCCACCCTGAGTCAGCAGGCAACCCCTAAAGGCCCAGCTGGGAGTTCGAGAGGTGGGGAGGGGGTGTCTTTGGTGCCAGGCAAGATGACTGGGCAGTCTCAGAAGGCCCTGAGCATAGCTGAGAGCTGGCGCCCCAACTCTCCCTCACTGCTGGCCTGGTTTCCACTGGGCATCAAGCTGCCCACATGAAAGGCAGCCTCTCCAGAAAGGGGAGCCCAGGAAGGAAGGCTGGGATGGAGTGGGGAGAAGCTGATAACCCCAAGAAATCCATGGAGATTCAGGCAGCCCACAGGCCAGAGATGGAAGAAGTTGGTGAAAGAAAAGGGCTTGCAGGCTCCTCCATCCCAGATGCTTCCCAACCCGACAGACCCTGAGGAAGCTGGGAAGCAGGAATGTGGCATTACTGGGTAACCAGGACCCCCGAGTCCTCCCTCCTTGCCTCCCGCCAGGCCAAGACACCAGAGGTCTGTGCTCTTTTGGGATTATCTCAAGGGCTTTGCTTGGGTGAAAGTTTGCCGCGCAGGGTCTCTGGGATCCCGTCGCTCTCTGACGCCCCCTCTGACGCCTGCCTGCCGCTGTGTCCCCTCCCGGACTAAGCGAGTGGATCCCGGCGGCGGCGGCTACCTGGTTCCCCGTCTCCGTCCATCGCTGCGGAGGGCGGTCTCGAGAGGAGGCGCCGGAGCGCTGCGGCGCGGCCCGAGTGCAGCGGCGGAGAGTCCAGGCGCAGCCCGCGTCTAGGTCGGGTCCCGGCCGGCCGCGCCTCTTAAAGGCCCCCGCCTCCGCCCCCGCCCCGCCTTTGGCCGCTCGCCCGGATGCCCCGCAGTCCGGAGCGGCCGACCCGAGGCCTCAGGCTACCGGCTCCTCGGCAGATCCAGGGGGATGGGAAAGGTCAGGAGTCGGGACTTTTTAATGGGGGATCCTTTGGGGGGCGTCTCCCAGCTCCTGCCTGGGGTGACTGCTGGAAGGAAGCTAGGAGCCAAGGAGGGTGTGGGGTGCAGAGCGTGCGGCCCCAGAGGAGGGAGGGGGCGAACTCTCCTCCTTGCACCCCCGCCCGCGCAGCCCAGGTAATTTTCCTGCGTCGCGGCCGGGGGCGCGGCGCCGCGCGGGGCGGCCTGGCGGGGGGCGGGGCCTGGCGGGCGCGGGCGGGGGCGGGGCCGCACCCTCCGGAGACGGCGGCCCGAGGCCTACCTGGTCCCGGAAGCCGAACGGGATCGCGCATCGGTGGCCGAGCGCAGGTTACCAGCAGGAGTGGGCGATGGAAGCGCTGCGGTTGGGGCGCGGGCGGGTCGGGGTCTGGCGGGCAGGCTTCGCTGTTCCCAGCCGCACCGCAGTGGGCGGAGGGAGGCCCCGCGAGGACAAGGCCCCGGCTGCGGCAGCGCGGGCGGGAACCGGGGGCTGGGATCGCCATCGATGCCTGGGGGCGCGAGCCCTGACATTGGGGATATTTTAAAGCGACAGCGCGGAGCCCTGACTTTGGGGATATTTTTAAGCCACAGCGCGTGATGGGCGGCCTCAGGAGCGCTAGTGGAGCCGGGGCTGAACCCACAAGAATGGGGCTGGGAGTAATGGAAGGGTCTTTCCCCTTTTCCCACCCTTTTCTCCAGTCCTGGTTAGGCAGATCATTTCCTGGGCGGTCTTGAGAAGGTCCTTGAGCCGTCTGGACTTCCTTCCCATACAGTGATACTTATACCACTGCCCCCAAGCTCTCCCCCTCCTACGTTTTGAGGACAGGCTGGAGTGCTCTTCAAGGCTACCTATTGTTAGACTGTCCAGCCTATTGGAAAAGGCTAGCTCTAGAAGCCAGAGGACTCAGGCTTCTTTCCCCTCTGCCCAAGTCGGTATGACCTTGAGCAGGTCCTTGAACCTCTCTGGGTTCTTAGACTTGCTTAAAGGCTGTTGTGAGGTACTAGTAAAAAAAAAAAAAAAGGTCACCGTTTATTTAGCAATTGCTGTCACTGGGCTCCTAGAACCCTCCCCTGGAGGTAAGTTAAGTACTATTCCTGCCCCCATTTTACAGAGAGGAAAACCGAAGCTTGGAGAGGCACAGTGAATTTCCTGAGATAGAACATGTCAGAGCTGGGATGGGAACCTCCCCCACCGCAGAATGCTGCAGATGCTGGGTCCTGTAATTCAGCTTTTCAATAATGGCAGGAGGGTGTCCAGAAGCCTCAAGCCATGGCTGTGGGAAACATCAACGAGCTGCCGGAGAGCATCCTGCTGGAGCTGTTCACACACATGCCCGCCCGCCAGCTGCTGCTGCACTGCCGCCTTGTCTGTAGCCTCTGGCGCGACCTCATCGACCTCGTGACCCTCTGGAAGCGCAAGTGCCTGCGAGAGGGCTTCATCACTGAGGACTGGGATCAGCCTGTGGCCGACTGGAAGATCTTCTACTTCCTACGCAGCCTCCACAGGAATCTCCTGCACAACCCATGTGCTGAAGGTGGGGTGCAGAGTGGGTCTGGCATGCCCCCAACACACACACTGTCATGATGCCAGCTAACATTTATTAACCACTTCTAACAATCCAGGCACTTTGGTTTAATTCCTTTAATTGTCTCACAGTTCCTAAGAGGCAGGTCATGTTTCATGGACCCATTTTTCAGCTGGGCAAACTAAGGTAAAGAGTAGCATTCTTTACTCCACTTCTAAGATTATTTCCCCAATAACTTTCCCTAGGAGAGGGAATGTTGGCCAATTTGTGACTGATGCACAAGACACCAGACCAGAAAGTCAGAGCCTTATTTTGTTGACCTAGTTCACTCTCTAAGACTAGGCCTACTAGACTGTCCCAGAGAGCAAAGGGGGCTTTGCTTATGGAAGAATGAGGGACCCAGTTTTTTTTCCAGCACATTACAACAACAGGTAAAACAAGAGTGCTATAGTCATCCAGAGACCCCTTTTATCCCTTGCTATGAAGTAACTCATCGGCTAGACTCTGAGATGGGTTGGGAACCTCATTCTCCATTATGTGGCCATATTCTGGAGCAAATTGATAATAAAACAACTCCACACTTCCCAAAGCTTTCAGATGCTTACCTCACATAATTCTCCACTAGCCATGTTCTTGACCACCAGTTGGCACGCCACAGTCCATGTACCAGATCTGGCTCAGGAGGCTAAGAATAGTTTTTGTGGTTTTAAAGGGTTATTTTTAAAAAGACTATGCAATAGAGAGAGTATGTAGCCCCCAAAACCTAAAATGTTTTGGCCCTTTCCATTCCAGAAAATGTTTGTTAGTCCCTGTTCTTGATCCTGGTTCACAGAGGACAAAAACAAGGCTCAAAGAGGGAAAGCAGCTTCCTTAAGGTCACACAGTCCAGTACTGGTAGAGCTCAAACTAGCCCCAGATCTGCCTGGGTCAGAGTGTTCTCCTTCACAGAAGGGGTCTGGTCATTCTCATCATCATACGTCTTGGGATTCCCAGTAGAGATCACTGACCATGGTGCCTGGCACACAGGAAGTACCTAATACAAGGTGGGCATAATTGATCTGTGTTGTCCCACTGCATAAGGCTTGAGGGCAGCTGCCAGATCCAGAGAGCAGAGCTGGGAGGAAGGGGCCTGGGGGACGTAAACACTGAGGGGCTTCCCTTTGACAGGAACTCTGCTTTCCCACCAGAGGGATTTGAATTCTGGAGCCTGGACGTGAATGGAGGTGATGAATGGAAGGTGGAAGATCTCTCTGGAGACCAAAGGAAGGAATTCCCCAATGACCAGGTCAAGAAATACTTCGTGACTTCTTATTAGTAAGATCCAAGACCACAGGTCTCAAGGTGGGGGGAAGCCCAAGTCACTTCACCCTGGGTTCTCTCCTGCTCTGAGAGGGGCAGCCCTAGCTCCCCAGTGCCCTAGTGGTGAGCCCCAGCCCCTCCCACCCTTCTGCCTGCCCCTAGCACCTGCCTCAAGTCCCAGGTGGTGGACCTCAAGGCCGAAGGGTATTGGGAGGAGCTGATGGACACCACACGGCCGGACATCGAGGTCAAGGACTGGTGAGTGCCCAGGGCAAGGGTCTGGGTGGGGGGGGCCTGCCATTCAGGCACCCCACCCCCACCCTGCCCCCCCTCTCTGAGGCCCTGATTGGCTCTCCCTCTGCTTGTAGGTTCGCAGCCAGACCAGACTGCGGTTCCAAGTACCAGCTGTGTGTTCAGCTCCTGTCATCGGCACATGCGCCTCTGGGGACCTTCCAGCCAGATCCAGCAACAATCCAGCAGAAGAGCGACGCCAAGTGGAGGGAGGTGTGTGAATGGGGAAGAGGGCGGGGGCACAGTGTCCGAGGCTGAGGCTGTAGTCAGACAGTCCTGGGTTAAGATCCCAGCTCTGCTGCTTCTCACCTGGGCTTCAGCTGCTCTGAACTCTGAAAGACATTGTAAAACCAGGTTCGAATATGTTGACTGTTCTTAATTACTTTCGGTTATTACTGTTCTCTAGACCAGGGGGCAACAAACATTTTCTTTAAAAGCTAGAATACCACTATTTTAGGCAGTGCAAACCATGCTGCCTTTGTCATGACTCGTCAGCTCTTCAGCTCTGTGGTTGTGTTGTGAAAGCAGCTTTAGCAAATGGACATGGCTGTGTTCCAATAAAACTTTATTTAAAAAACAGGCAGTGGGCCCCTAGGCCATAGTTTGCCTGATCTAGATCAGTGCTGTCCAGTAGACCTTTCCACAGTGAAAAAAATGCTTTGTGTCGGCATTGTCCATTAGGGTAGCCCATAGCCACATGTGATTATTGAACACTTACTTAATAAGAGCCAGTTCCTAGTGTGAATGAGGAACTGAATATTTTATCTAATTTTAATTAATCTTAAATATCCACACATGCCCAGTGATGACTGTACTGGACTTCCTTTGGTAGCTTGCAGTTACCTTCAGTTCCTTTGAGTTGCATTTACATAATCCTGCAGAGTGGACGTGGGAGGTTTTGTCCATTTTACAGATGATGAAACGGAGGCCTAGAGAAGGGAGGTGATCTGCCCCAAATCACAGAGTGAGGAATAAAACCCATTTCTGATTACTTCTAGTCCAGCATGAAGACTTTGACCCTTCCTTGCTTCCCTGCCCCCTCAGGCAGGGCCACCCTCAGGGTGTGCATCCCTGACCTCTACCTCCACCTGTCCTCCCCACCCCCAACCCTGCCCTGCCAGGTCTCCCACACTTTCTCCAACTACCCGCCCGGCGTCCGCTACATCTGGTTTCAGCATGGTGGCGTGGACACTCACTACTGGGCCGGCTGGTACGGCCCGAGGGTCACGAACAGCAGCATCACCATCAGGCCCCCTCTGCCCTGACACCCCATCTGCCAATCCCCGACTGGTGAACTGCTGCCAGAGCAGGGCTGGGCTTGGGCAGGGAGGTAGACCAGGCTCTCCCAGACCTCCTAGTTCATCGTCGCCCCCCAGTGACCTCTTCTTTGCAGAGCCTCTTGGTTTGTGCAGCCCTCAGATGCTATGAGAGACCAGCTCTCCACCCAGAGTCTCAACCTGAATGATGGCAGGGGAGTCCTACATGGGCCCCTGTAAGCTGGGGGCCCTGAGGTTAGGGACGTGCAGGGTGTTCCCCAAGCTCCTCTGAGTGGTCTCCAAGCTCAGATGGCAGTCTAGATCCATGTCCCTACCTTCCCCTCCAGGGCCCTTTCTCCCTGTCTACTTTGGAGGTCCTCTGGCAGGGGTGGTTAGGAGGCTGACCTGTGGCTGCCCTGGGTAGTGCTCATGCTGGGAGGGACCATGTGGTTTATAGATCAGGCAGTGTAAGGAGAGCTCGGCTGGCCTGTGCTCTGCCCCATTTTGCCACTCTCACACTCTCTTGCTTTGCCCACCTTCTCAGAGAGATGGCTTTGACCCAGAGGCTCAGGCCTAGTCTAAGACTGTCCTCACTGTCACTGAAGCTCTGGAAGCTAGATGGGTACCAGGTGGGGGCAGGATCTCCAAAAGACCCCTGGAACCCTGTGCATGGCAACCCAGGGCCGTTGGGGCAGATTGGGCCCTGATTCTGGGCCATGTGAGCCCCAGATGAGTGGTGGTAGGAGTTTTTCAAGGACCACTTGTCTACCTCCATGCCTAGGCCGGGCTCCCTGTGGCTGGCTCAGAGAGCATTCCAAGCCCCCACTCCACCCTAGAGACTGCCATTCCCAGGACCTCCCCACCCTGCCTGACCACACTCCTGCCTCTCCTTCTGCTGGAAGGGAAGCTGTGCTCTGATGCAGCCCCTGCTGCATGCAGCCAAATAAAAGGTGTTCCCAGCCCAACTTGTGTTCTGTGGTTTCTGGGGGCCAGGCAAGTTGCATGGGAGGTCCTGCCCTGGACGTGCAGAAGAAGCAACATACATGGCTTCTGTCCAAGGTACAGAAAGCGGTTTATGTTTCATTGAGTAACCAGGGTCATGGGACAGACCCCTCAAGAGCTGCAAGCCTCTTACCCTCCAGTCCTGCTCTCATCCTCTGGAGTTGATGGACATTTCTGGGGAAACCTTGCTTACATCTCATGCTAGATGGGCACTGCCTCCCCAGGCACTGCTTACTGGTATTTTATTTCCTCTGCCAAGGGCTTTATTGACCTCAGATGAAGCCAAATCATATAGAATGGTGCATGGCACACAGTAGGTGCTCATAAAGTACTGGTAAATTTTATCATCTCATTCTACAGTGAGTTTAGATTAGCGCCTCAACTAGGGCAGGAGCCCCAACTCACTAGCTGTATGGCAAGTTAGTAAAAGACACCCTTCCTTGCAGAAGATGCAGTCCTGGCCACTTATCAACATGGCCTGGGGCCAGGTTACCTTGGGCAGTGCACAGCCTGGACAACTTCCTGGTTGCCTGAAGTAGGTGCTTGATAGTTATTTGTTGAATGAATAAAGTAATTAATGAACTTTAGCCCGACAAGAAACACAGATTTTCACTTATGATTAAGTAAAGGCCTGCCCGTGGTCACGCCCTAGAGAAGGTGAGAGCCAGTGTCGGCGATCACCCTGGGCGGGGTGCCGCCTCCCTCCCAAGGAGCCGAGGGACGGGCGAGCAGGTCCGCAAGTGGCCTGCGCGGGGGCGGGGCCTGAGGGAGGAGGAAGCCGAGGGACAACGGGTGCCGGCTGCTGGGCCGCCCGCCGCCTGGAGGGGAGGACGAGTCGGAAGCGAGGTGCGGGGGTCCCAGAAGCGCGGCCCCGTCCGTGCGGGCCCCAGACTCCTCTCCGGAGGCTGGGCGGGGGTCCCGGCGGCGACGGCAGCGGCCCTGGAGGCAGCGGGCGCCGCGCTTACGGCCCGAGCGCGGCGCGTGACGGGAGCGCGGGGCGGGGCGAGAGCGGAAGGCGCCGCCAAGGCCGCCGGTCGACCCAGACTGGGGCCCCCTGCTCCGAGCCCAGGTCGCCGTCCAGCCGGGGACGGGCGGGGAGCGGGCGACAGGCGTGGAAGGGGGCTTGGGTGCCGCGCGCCGGGGGGGGCCGGGGCGTGAGCCGAGCCCACGGATGCTGTCCCGGGCTGGCCGGGGCCGCGGGGTGGGCGCCAGGCGGGGCGGGACCCGCGGGACAGGGGTCGGGGCCGGATTCCGCGCCGCGGGTCTCTGACTTGGACTCCGGGCCGGCCGCCTGGGAGCAGGCGCGGCGTCCGCGGCCACCCGGCCACACTTTGAGGGCGGCGCCCGGGACCGGGGATGATCTAGGACCCGCCGGCATTCCCCGCGGGGGCCGGGACGGGCGCCTAGCTGCCCAAGCCTCAGCGTCAGCTTTCGAGAAATAGGCAAAGTAGCAGTACCTCGAAAGGTCGTTGGGGGCAGGGGAGTCGACGGAGAAAAGGCTAGGGTGAGGCTCCAGGAGGGCACGTGGGAAGCCCGACGGGTGCGAGGGTGGCGTGGGTGATTCCGTCCCCAGAACACCAGGAGGGCCTTCCCCGCTTACACCACCCTGCGCAGCCAAGCTTTGCCCTACGCCCGCAACAGAAATGAAAGGCGGGGGATAGCAAGTAGTAACCAGAGCCAAAGGTCAGACCCTGGGTGCCCGGATGAAGGGCACTTCGAACCTAAGACACCTCTAACTCGGAACCCAGCGACTTTTATTTGCCTAGCAGTGCACTTAGAAGTTGCCAACATCTAAAAACTAATTTTTTTTTTTTAATGTTTGGCGTTCCTCCTGTAAAATCAGAAGACCTGGCCTCACAGAGTAGTTTTCAGTCAGACCTTTTTGCACAACATACCTTATTTATGTTTGTTTTTTCTTTGCCATGCTAAAATGCTCCTCCCTGGGCAAGGGCCAGAGTCTATATGCCCACCCTTACATTTATGGGATAGGAGCTTTGAAAAGACTATGAACTGTTTCTCATCTACAACCTTACATATTCAAGATATCCCCCAAATCTACCTCTTTTCTTAATATTTCATGAGGAAAATACGGGGACTGTCTTTGGCCGTATCTTTATAGAAAATGAGTAGTATCCCCCATGTCTCTACGTATGGGAAACTATACCTGCCCTGTCCCCCCTGTAAGCAGAGAGGGCCCATCTGAGTGACAGTGGCTTGCCTGCCCCAACGGCTCTGGGGTAAATCCCTTAAGAGATCTGGATAACTAGGACCCCCAGGCAAGAATCACGCCAGGGTAGTGGGACTGTTAAATTCCCCTAATGTCTTGCAGTTCAGATGTAGAGGAAGGTGTTCTTAGGGGCAGGTAGCTACTACTGGGAAGTGTTTTTGCTCTGATAGCAGCACTGGGAAGATGCTGTGGAGCACACCTCTGTGGCCCTGTGCTGAATGCTTTGCTTTGTACTAACTCAGGCCTCCCAGCCTTTCTGAGGTTGGGGCAGTTATCACCTCCTTTTTACAGCTTCCCAGCTAGTCACTGCAAGCCAGGCAGTCTTGCTCCAATGCCCTAAATCTGCTCTTCGGCACTGGGCATTTCAAAGTGAGTTCTGGCCTGATGCCTACCCAGAACTGTTTGGGGGCCTCCTCATTGGGGTGTTTTATCACATCTGACTTCCAAGTCAAAGTGAGCTATTTTAGGAGAGGAAGTTAGCTTCTCAGAACTAGCCCAACCACTTAATGAGGTTGTGACATAATCTGAGGATATAGTAAAGCTTTTATATCCTAACAGTGAATTCACAGCACTGAAATAACATCATCACAAACCCTCGCAGAGCTCGCAGGCAAATCGTGTGGCCTCTACAAATCTGAACAGTTCACCAGGCCCACCAACTTAAAATTAACCAATTATTTTTGTAATGGGGGGAGGGTCCTCTTAAAATATTATTCCCTAATGACTTTATTACTATTTTTATTGCATTTTCAAATGCATGTAACATGCGATCACTCTGTATTTTGAGGGCCTGCTATGTACCAGAAGGATGCTCAAGTGCCCCTTAACCCCTCATTTCACAAGCAGACACGATTAAGAGTCCCTAGGATCTGGGGTCTGAGATCCCTGGGAATCCGAGGAGTCGACCTCTTTGGTAAGGGCTCATAATCACTGTTGCCCCCACAGGCCTGTGTGCACGTCACCCCACCCGGCCATGGCCCTGGTCAGCATCAACGAGCTCCCGGAGAACATCCTGCTGGAGGTGTTCACACACGTGCCCGCCCGCCAGCTGCTGCTGCACTGCCGCCCTGTCTGCAGCCTCTGGCGTGACCTCATTGACGTTGTCACCCTCTGGAAGCGCAAGAGCCTGCTGGCAGGCTTCATCACCGAGGACTGGGACCAGCCTGTGGCCGACTGGAAGATCTTCTTCTTTCTTTGCAGCCTTCGCAGGAATCTCCTCCGTAACCCATGTGCTGAAGGTGGGCGGAGAGCTTCCCCTGGGCTGGTTTCCTTCCCTTCCTGAACCCCATGGCCGTTGCACTTACTTTGCCACAATACCTGGGATGGTCTGCCACACCCCGAACACCTGCCACACTCCCTTGGTTCCTCCTCTTTCTCCTTCAGGTCTCAGTTCAGAGCCCTGCCCTGGCCCCCCATCTAAAAAGTGCTCCCTACTTCTATTATATCACCCCATGTAGCTCATAATACTTTTCATAACCTATAGTTTCATAACCTTTAGTTATCTCTGTGGGTTTTTTTCTCTGCCACAAATTCAAGTTCTAGGGGCCTAATGGATCTTGCTTGCCATTCGACACCCCGTGTCCACAATGATGCCCTCACATAGCATGTACTCAAGAATGAATAAACAAACTAGATCCACCTCTCACCCCTAGTAGTTCAGTCCTAGCTGCCTAACATTTATTGAGGGCTTCCTGAATGCCAGGCATTTGTCTTGAGGTCCCTCCAAATGTAATTATCCTCCCATTATCCCCATTGTACAGATGAAGAAAATGAGGACTTTTGAAAGGTGACTGCAGTCACATAATTTAAAGCACCGTTTAGCTTATAATGCTCTTATATTTGCTAGGGCTTTTTTTCCTTCATTAAGCTGCTAGTACCAGGCACCATGCTTCTTGTTGGAACTTCAGCAGCAGTGAAGTAAGAGGCATAGTTTGTACATTTAGAATCCTTTTCATGTCTATTTTCTTTCGTTGTCCTTCCAAGGATCTGAGGAGTAGCCAGATAAGCAGATAAGTAGTGTTGGCTCTATTTTACAGATGGGGAGCATTAGGACCCACGATGAGTGTCTTGCCCAAAGATCTAGAACTCTCCAGCTGATAGGGCTGGTCCTGCCAAAGCCTTCAGGCCCCTCTCAGAAGCCCGACAGACAGTGCCCCAGACACTCAATCTCTCTGCCTGCCCCAGATTCCACTCAGAAGCTGCGCAGCCAGGCTGCTGGCTCAGCCCACACAGCTCTCCAAAGCCAACCTGTAGGCTTGCCCTGCACCAGCCCAGGCCCAGCAGCGGTCAGCCCAGACTTGCTCAGATCTCCCCTTGGGCCTATTCTCAGTGCAGCCCAGCTGCTGGCTTTCTCCTCTGGTTCTCTACTCAGCGACCTCCAGAGCACCAGGGGAGTAGGTGTTGGCACCCAGTAGAGAGAGCAAGGGAGAAATTTGGAAAAGTTCCCTCATCACTGTCCTGTAAACCCTTGGTAGAGAAATTGTTGTTTTCTAGGCTCCTCTCAGCTCAGTCTGAAGTTGAGACCAGAATCTGCCAAGCCAGCGTGGTGGGAATCCTTCCACAAATATAGGTTACTGTGTGCCACCAACCTAGACAATGCCCATGCTCCCAGCTGTCCCTCTCGTCTGGACAGAAAGGGCCCAAGTCAGCACAGTAGGTTTCCATGACCCACCAACAAATCTGCAAATCAGTGCTCGGGTCGCCTTGGGTCTCTGTTACATCAGTCAGTATCTGGGGGAATGTCAGTTATCACGTAAGTGGTCCACACTGGCACAAACTCACGTTAGCTTATTAAGAACAGAAATACTAACACAGGCCCTTCATAATTTAACATTTTGAGAACTGAAACTTGGGTATTTCCCAGAGCCCTTCGGCAACATGAAAGTGAGGAAAGGTTGGTTTAGAATTTCTGGTAATACTTTTTTTCCCATTTTCATATTAGGAGTCAAGCCAGTCAGGGACAAAGTGGGAGGGAGTGGGCCCCAGATCAGAGCTGCTGTGATGAGGATGTGTCGGAGGGGTGCTTCTAGCGGCACTCCACTGCACGGGGTATATGCCTTGAGATCTGAGCAAGAACAATCCCTCCCTGCCTCCTTTCCCCAGGGACCAGGTGGGGAGGACCGGACTGTGCTTTACCCAGGGAATCTGACCTTGGCCTCTGTTTGTCCTAGAGGATATGACATCCTGGCAAATTGACTCCAATGGGGGGGACCACTGGAAGGTAGAGAGCCTCCCTGGAGAGCATGGAACAGATTTTCCTGACTCCAGAGTCAAAAAGTACTTTGTTACATCCTATGGGTAAGACAAACTGAACCAAGCAGGCTGTGTTCAAGGGGAAGAGGGTCAGGATGCCTTTTGCCAAACTCAAGCTTAAGTGAGGTACTCTGTGAAGCTCAAAGAAGGAGGTTCCAAAACCATCTCAAAATCTACTATTTCCTAGAACAGGAGTAACCTCAGTGGCTGGGTTAATAGACAGTGGTGGAGGGATGGAGGGGTGGAGAGCAATTTAAGGGGCCTAGGAGCCTGTTGGGCAGTTAGGTTAAATCAGGTGTCTATAGGCTGCCCCTAATCACAGCAGCACCCTTCTTGGGACCCTGAGAGACTTGTCATTGGGATCAGATGCCACCCAGGCACAAGTAGGTCAGACTCCCTGCATGTTTCCCCTGGGCCTACACCAAGGTAGGAGCCAAAGTCAGCACCAGCTAGTGGAGGTCCTGCAGCGGTCAGGGAACACTGCTGGTCTCCTGAACTACCTCCCCAGGGCCGAGCCATTCACAGCATGCCTGGAACCATAAGCCTCTCCCTCTGCTCTGCAGCATGTGCCTCAAGTCCCAGCTGGTGGACCTCAAAGCTGAGGGCTACTGGGAGGAGCTCCTGGACACATTCCGGCCCGACATCATGGTTCAGGACTGGTGAGTGGGACCTGTGGCATGAGGCCCACACTCTGCATCCTTCCCTCTTCTCTTCCTAAGAACACTGTGCCCAGCAGTGTTCTGGACCAAGGGCTGCGCCAAGAGCCGAGCCAACCCAGCCTGTCCCCACTGCTGACAGACCCAGCATTTCCTCATCCAGCGGCACCTCCTGGCCTCCCCACCACCCTGCGTCAGCAGGACACATTAACCCGTTTACAGATGGGGAGACTGAGGCCTACAGATGAGTTGTTATCAACAGACACTGGAACACGAGACACCAGGCCCAGCCTCCCTGGACCTCATAGACTCATGGCCTCTTGCCTATCTGCCTCTCCACGCCTTTCACTATCTGTCCCTCAGCTGTGTCCCAGGCTCCTGCTCTGGGCACAGAGCCGTGCCAAGGCCCAGTTTGGCCCATGACAGCAGGACCCCAGTTCCAGCCAGGCCCCAGGGTCTGAAGATGGGGGTTGAGCGGTGTGCAGCGCTGCAGGGGGCCAGCAGCTGCACCAGCCCCATCACACAGGCCACCCCTTGGATCTCCCACTCAATCCACAGTCTAGTCCATTAAAATGTACAGGTGGCAGAGCTGCAGCAGCCTGGGCCTTTATCTCTGTAGACAACCAAGGTCACATCTTCACTGGAACACCCAGAAGGACTGCACTTTTCTTCACTGGGGTTACTGAGGCCCTGCTCAGATACCCCAAGACAGGGTTGGCTCTAGAGGCACACAGACAGCAGGCCCACAAATTGGAGCTCGGAGTTTCATTTCCCTGCTCTGCCTGTGAGGTCCAGCTGGCTTCAGGGCTCCCTGTGCCCCACCATGCTCTGGCGTAAGCAGTCTTGAGCTCCACCCTCCCCTAGGTTCGCCGCCAGAGCAGACTGTGGCTGCACCTACCGCATCCGAGTACAGCTGGTCTCGGCAGACTACATTGTCTTGGCCTCCTTCGAGCCCCCGCCTGTGACCGTCCTTCAGTGGAATGATGCCAGGTGGACAGAGGTGAGGTCTCACCTGCTTGCCCCTCAATACCCACTTCTCCCAGGGCCAGGAGGGCAGGAAACAAGGGACAGTCCCAGGGCTCAGAATGCTCCCCGCTCTCACCTTCCAACTAGGGTGGCTCTCCCCTGAAGACCTGGCTCCTCCTATCCCCTCTCCAGCCAAGTAGTTAACCTCATCTCGTCCCTCCCCAGTGCCAGTGGTCACTTCTCCTCCCCTCCTCCAGGTCTCCCACACCTTTTCAGATTATCCTCCTGGTGTGCGCCACATCCTCTTCCAGCACGGAGGCAAAGACACCCAGTTCTGGGCAGGCTGGTATGGGCCCCGCGTCACCAACAGCAGCATCATTGTCAGCCACATGATGACCAGGAGCCCGGCCCCTTCCACTGCCCAGCCTGAGGCCAAGCAGCGGCAGGACGAGGCTGCCCACCTGCCTTCCCCACTTCATCCTCGCAGGCCCTCCTGACCGTGTGTCCCCCAACAGCCAGTCATCCAGCCTCTGGCCCAGCCGGTCCCCTCCAGGCAATAGCTGAGCCTATAGCGGACAACAAGGTCCCCTGCCCTGGGAGCTCCCGCCCCTGTTCCAACCTCCGGCAAACCCACCAGTTTGTGGCAACTTACTGTCATGTACCTCCAACATTTTGTGGTAATAAATGTTTTCAGTAAAACCCACCTGGGGTTGGGTACAGGGTCCTTGGCACTGAGGTAGAGAAGCAGCCTCTCCCTCCAGGTTACTTTGGCTGCACCCATTCCCTCCCACTTCAGGTAGTGACAGCTTGGCTCAGCCCTTGGGGCCCCTTTATTGAAACAACTCACAACACAGTAGTTGAGACGGTGTCGGCCAGCCAAACCCCAGGAGGCTAAGAATTCAAGGTCCCAGCACCGTTCACTGCCCTCCTGGGGGTGATTTCTCCATGAAGCAACCAGACCTGGGCAGCCGTGGGCTGGAGGTGGGTGGTCTATACGTAGAGGCAATAAGAGCACTTGGAATCAGGGTGGCCCTGCAGCATTGCCCTAGGCTGGGGCCCCCAAAGTCCTACAGTTGTGGTATCCGTGGGGGGAAGGCGCACTCTCAGCTGCTTTTATGAGCTCGTTCTTCCACGTAGAGCTGCATCTGATGGACAGGAACAACAGCTGTGGTCAGGTGGACAGCAAGGGCACCTACTCTGGAGGGCCCATGAGCCCCGGCAGGCAGATCTCTGCCTAGGGTGGGGTTGGGTGGTCATAGCCAGGGGTTAAGGGAAAGAGGGAGTTGGGCATCCACTGGTCATCTAGCCCAAACCTTGACCTAGACCAAGCCCTCTGGCAAGGCCTAAGCACACCCTAAATAAAGCTTACCCGATCTCCTGCAGCTCACCTTTAAAATGTCTGAGGTCATGGTTTTTAGGGGTATCAGCCGGGGGTCATGCATGTGGACATCCTGCTCATCTGCCAGGATCCAGGGGAAGTCCTAGGGAGGGGACCACGGTAAGGGGGTGGAAGGAGGCCGGGCCATGGCCTGCCCTCACTCAACTACTCCCTCCCCATCCAGGGTTGGGGTCCTCAGACTTCAGGGAACATAGCATCACCAGGGAACTGCTGACAGCACAGATTCCAGGTCCCTCTGCCAGAGAGGCCGAGTCTGTAGAGTCAGGAACCCAAGTGATCTAACAAGCCCCAAGCACTGCTTCTGAAACTGATAGGCAAGAACCCCCTCCCTTGAGAGCCCCTACTGACCGGCAGCCCCAGCATGTGGCTGCACCCCGCCCCCCCCGTCAGGGCTGAATGTACAGGTGGGGCAGTGACAGGTATGTGGCCACATGGGTAAGACATGGTGAGAGCTTACTGGAGGCCAGGCACTGCCATAAGCCGCACCTCTGCTCTCTCAGAATTGGGGCATGTGGTTTTCAAAGCCTCCCAGCAATCTCCCTGCCCATCCCTAGACCAAGGTCCCCTCACCTTGATGACCTGGATCTTTTCCATGTTGCGAGTGGCAGCTTCTCTTGTGTGCACTAAGACTGTGAAGGTACAGCCTAAGGAAGGAAGAGTTTAGTCAAGGCTGGGCCACCCCATGCCTGCCATGGGCACAGCCTGTTCCTGTCTCCCTAGCTGGCCCAGCAACCCCACAGGGCAGAGTGTATACCAAGTGCTAGGATAAGACACAGTCATCTGGGAGACTGAAGCCAGGTGGAGTCAATCAGGGAAACTTCCGGGAGAAAGTGGACTTTTAGAGGGGTTCTAAAAGGCAGGAAGGGAGGGAAGAGGCTCTGTGCAGCCACACAGGGACCTAAGACCACAGTCCAATCTGTGGCTACCTAGGGAAGAGGGAGTGGGGTGAGAGCACACCTGGGGGGTTGTGGTCCAGGACAGCATCACACACACTGATCTTCAGGATGAAAGCTCGGAGCAGCTGCTCCACGTGAGACAGCAAGGAGTCTGAGCTGGGAAGGACAGGGGAGGTTCTCCTGTCACACTGCTGCCCCTTTCCCCCAGCACACAGTCAACTCTGGAAGCTGACCTGGGGATCCAGCCCCTCCAGTGCTTTTGAGTGTGTTGGCCTGAGTGTGTAAGGGCCCGACCACCTATCTCCGTTAAAGTCATCGGGGAAGTTTAAAACCAGCGTTGAGTTCCATCCCAGCCAAATTAAGTCAGAATGGGTGAAAGCGAGTGTAGAGAGCCCCTGCAGGTGGTTCTAATGTGCAGCCCAGAATCAGAAGAATCAGAACCAGGACATAGCACAAGCCTCTTCATCCCCAGGGTCACCAAGCCAGGAAAAGGGGCTTGCCTGAGGCCACACACTAAGTGGAGATTCCAGTGACCTGACACCACAGGCAGCCAGCAGCTTACCAGCCAATATACCTGCCCAAGGTCCACTATGACCTGGACATTTGGGAAGCCAAGAAACTGGGTCTGTGCCCTGGTTCTGCTACCATCTGGGTGACCTTACGTAGCTCATGTCTTCTCTCTGGACCTTGGTTTCTCCATTTAAAATGGGGTTGTGACTAGCCATTCACCAAAGCTATGACTGTCCAGATGTGAAAGAAGGGTCTCTGTGTAACCTGCGTCATATCCACAGAGACCTCTGGATAGCCAGCTGTGACTCAGCCACTAACTATATTGCACATGTTACCGTCTCTCCTCTCAGATTTTACCAAAGCCTCCAGGGCCTGCCTGAAGGTGGTCAAGGTTGGGCGTACTGCTAGGGTCCTCACACCAGCTAGCAGGTGGATTAGGGAGAGGCAGCTCACCTGATGGACAGCAGCGGAGGCTGGGTGATTTCAAAGACGAATTTCTCCACTGGGCGGTGCTCTTTGTCCAAAATCACCACCACCACTTTCTCCACATCATTCTGCAGGGACAGGAATCCCCTGCTCCAGAACCCGACACCCCACCCTGCTGCCACCACACCCTTCCTGTCCAAGAAAGGATGGGAAAGGGCACATAGTAGCCCTGCTCAGCTTCTGGGCCAAGGGTCCTTGAGAGCCCAGAGAGAGGTTTAAGAAGTACACATAAGCACCCCCAGACATGAGCCGCACTGGCTGAGAGGAGGGGCTGCCTGGGCCCCATGGAGGTATCAGATTGTCTCAGAGAGCACAGCAAGATAGAAGGAAACTGGAAGGGGCCGAGCCCAGACAACCGGGGGCAGAGGGGAGAAAAGCAAATGTGAGCAAAACTCAGAACCTTCCAGGGCCAGCCCGTCAGAGAGCCAGCTCCACCAACCAGGACTCCCAGGCCCAGCACACCCTCAACATGGCTCACGTGACCTGGGGCCTATCCCTGAGCAGGGGTGGCGTCCAGGGTGCATGGAAGAGGCAGGATTCTGGGAGCCATGGGGAACCCACATGGTCCCAGCATCACCTCATCCTGAAGCATAGAGGAGCAGACTGGGGGTAAGGCAGGCCAGGGCGCCTGGTGGCCTCACCTTCTCCAGCAGTGGCTTCACACAGTGCAGCGTGTCCTGGATGTACTGGTTCAGCTCTGGGTGGCAGGACATCTGCACATAATCCCGTGATGGCTGGTGAGGCCCACAGCTCCAGTAGTGAAACCACCTGACACCCCCTCCTGGAGCCCACGGCCCTATCTGCCTTTGGAGAGAGGCCCTGCAGTTCCCTAGGGCACCCTACTCAAGACACTGACTTCCCATCATAGGCAAAGAACTGAATTATCCACAGAAGAAGATAAATTAGAGGATAAGATTCAATCTCAACATCAGCATGTAATACAGCATTAGGGGTTCCTAATGTGGGGTCCATAGGGTCCTCCAATCTGATAAGTACCAAAATTATGAGTATTTGGGCATTCAGGCATTTTTCCAGAAAGGGGATCCAGAAATTTAATCAATTTTCAAAAGTTAAGAATCTGTAACTAAGGAGCTGTGTGGCCTCAGGCAAATTGCTTAACTTCTCTGAGCTTTAATTACTTCATCTGTAGAAAATCTCATAAAGAAAAAGTGAGGATTAAGATAAGTACCTAGTACACAATGGGTGCTCAGTAATTGCCAATTCTTTTTCCTTTTCCCTGGATAACCTTTAAGCCTCCAACACCTTCCAGTAGTCAGTCTTTTATTTTGATGTTTACTGAGTGCCTTCTAAGAGGCAGGCACTTCTAGAGACCAGAGATAGAGTAGCATGTTTGCTGCTTTGTCTGCCTTTTAACCTAAAACACCCCATCACAATTAGGGTAAACGAGGGGGGAAAGAAGGTGCCTGAACTTACAGGAACCCCTCCCCAAACCAAACTTTCACCAGCTTCAGGAACTCTTTAAAATGCAACTATGTGGAGTGGGGGGGGGGCAACTCTAATCTAAAGTCTGGGTCCCTAACTTCTGGGAAAGGGAATTGCCACAGCAGTGAGGGCGGGGAAACTACCAGGCTACCAGCAGCTGCGGGAAACTAGAAGGCAAGGCCAGGCCGTGGGGAATGAGAGCGCTGGCCTGAAGGTGGAAAAATTTTAAAAATCCATCCTCTACGCACTCTGTAATTGGGGGGTGAGCCAGTGGCCCCAGGTGGCTGTGGGGGCTCACCTGGACAGGCACGTTGTACTTCTTACGCTTCTGAAAGATGCCCACCGGGTAGACCTCACGCACATAGAGAATTAGGTGCACGGCCACCTCCAGGAACTCGCAGAGCACGTCGGCCACCACTGAGAAGGGACAAAATCCGGTGCGCTGGGTGAAGCCCGTCCGCCCAGGCCGTCCCTCAATCCCACCTCGGGTCCGCAAGTCCAGCCTCCCTACCTTGACCAAAGTTGAGGTCCTGTCGCGTGAGCGTGGTCATCCTTCCAGCCACCTAGGAGATGGGGCAGGAGTAGGGGCTAGTTCCAAAGACCAATGCAACCGCAGGGCCCACCTGCTTCCATGACCCCTCTCCTCGGTGCGGGGGTGATAGGGTCGGGACCCTCCCTGCACACAGAATCCGGGCAGCCGGGAAGGGCCCCCCCACCGCGCTGGCGTCACAGGTCGGGGTCATAAGCTGCGCCCCGATCAGCCTGTCCAGTGGCCGCTTCGCCCTGCCGTCTCGTGGGTAGGAGAGGCCAGAGCTGTGCCCGCGAAGAGGGCATGGCCGCTGCCGCAGAAGGAACAACTGGATGAGCAGGCCTGGGAGCGTAAAGCCGGACACTAGAAGAGCGAAACTAGGCTGATAAGACTCCACCCCCTGCCTGGCTAGATCCCTCCCCGGAAGGAATCCCGCCCCTCTCCCCCGCCCCCGGTACCGGCTCCGGCCTCGGTGCCTGGGCTGGGGTCCGGCCCCCGCGCGGGAAGCCACCGGCCAGACCACTCGAGCCTCCCGCTCTACCCACGACCTGGGCGCAGCTCGGTGACTCGCCGGCGCTCCGAAGGGTCCTAACGCCCTCCGGCAACCACGCCCACTCCAGCGCGCAGCCAACCGCGGGGACAGAAGGGAGCGGCAGCCGGGGGGCGGGGCTCGGGCGGGGGCGGGACCCGGGCTCGGCGCGCGGATCTCCGGGCCCAAGCGCGCTAAGACCGCGCGGCGTTTCAATTTGGGGTGCGCGCGAAAAAAGATAACTTTGGTCTCCACACCGGATCGCCACGTATTTTCCTCCTCAAGGCATTTCCCTCGCCTTAGGAAGCTCTGGGAGGAAGCGGGCACGTGTTGCTGGTGGGGACCAGGTGGAGGGCACAGCTAGGGACTAAGGACAGCGACATCTACTGCTAGCTCCGGAGTCACCATCCCGGGATCCTCAACTGCCCAACCGAAAGCGAATCCGCCGGCTCCGGGGCGGAGACAAGAGAGGATTGGGGGTGCACCGGGGACATTCCCCCTCCCCCGCCCGCACCCAGAACCTAAATGCAGCCTGGCTTTCCTTCCCAAGAAGATAGAACCTCCGGCCTGAGTATCATAACAATAACTGACCTTTTAAGGGCTCCAGCCCTGTGCCAGGCACTGGGCTAAGTGTGTCCGTGGATTATCTCACGGACACAAATCTTGAAAATGATTCCATTACTAAGATTGTCCCATTTTACAGATGAGCCAAAGGAGATTCATAGGGGTGAACCTATATCCGAATCACACAGCTACTGAGGGAGGGGGGCCGGCGGAGGTGTCTTCTGCCACTACGTTTTATAGCTCTGTAGTCTCCCAGAGGCATGGACTCTGGAAGGGCTGAGAATCCCCTGGGAGATAATCAGATTAATATTAAAATAATTACTAACATGGATTGAGCACTTATTATATATGAAGCACTGATTTCTTTTTTTTTTGGTATCATTAATCTACAATTACATGAGGAACATATGTTTACTAGACCCCCCATCACCAAGTCCCCCCCACATCCCCATTACAGTCACAGTCCATCAGCTAGTAAGATCAAGCACTGATTTCTTTAATTCCCTCATTAACCACCCATTTTACAGCCCCACATTATAGATGGTAAAACAGGCTCAGAGATGTTATTTGCCAAAATTACACAGTTGGAATACAAACCTAGTTCTGACTCCCAGTCTGACTCCAAGGCTTCAGCTTATTTTCAGCCCCTTTATTTTACAGGTGGGAAAACTAAGGGCAGAGAAGTGGCTTCAGAGTTATGGGCACAAGTCAGGATCAGAAGCCAGGGGGTGGGTGGGCCTTGTCTCTGATCTCCAGAGATGTAACAGCTTGTTAGGAGTCACACACATCTTTGTACACAGATCTAACCAGAAATGCTTACTATTTACAGCTCAGTAGTGGAAACCTGCACTGGCCCTTCACCCAGATGCCTTCAGACCTGCATTTATCCACTTCTGATGGCGTTGGGGCAGGGGCAATAATAAGTAACTTGGCCCACTGAGTCAGGAATGCCAGCAAAGCATTTCTCAAAAGCAGTCTTTATAAATCTGCATCAGAATCCCTAGGGAGCCAGTTAAACACCTGGAATCCGGGCCTCCAAGATCTAGGGCTCAGTCTGGGTGCACAGCAAGGTATCGGCCCTTTAACAAGCTCCCCAGGGACCCTAATGCCCAAGAAATCCACACAGCAGTTTGAGCTGTTCCCAAGGAAGGGCATTTCATACAATTGCAGTGCTTAACCCTAAGGGATGGATAATTTATTTCAGGAATTGATCCACCTGATGGCATATTTTGGGCACAGCAACCCTTCTCAAGACTTGGGGACCCTCCGCACGTCCTGCCATATAGCAGAGGACCGTTTTCACACAGAGCCAGCAAAGCAGCTCGCTGGCTTATAGACAATGTCCCCTGGCTCCTTAGGATTTAATCGCTGCAGATACTTTGGCCACTGGGGAAAGCAGGGTCCTCCCTGGTCCCTCTCTGGAGGCTGCTCAAGCAGCTTTTTCATTGATGACAGGTAGTGGCAGTCTTGGGGAGGAGGGGAGGCCCTTGTAACGGGTCCCTTGGGATTGGGCCCTGGGGAAGAGGAAGTCCAGCCCACAGGAGTCTGTGGGGACACAGTGTGAGCAACAAGGGGGCTCATGCCAGGCATTCCTTCCATGGCCCCAGCCCCCCGCCCTGAGAAGACACAGTGCAAGCCATCCATTGGTCTCCTGACACACAGGAGAACTTCAGGGAAACCTTGGTGGACACACAACCCAACACTCCCATTTTTCCAATGGGGACACTGAGGTCCCAGCAGCCTTTGTTTGACTCTGGGGTACCTACCTTATCAGCTAGAAACCCACGGATAAAAATTCCTGAGTTTGGGGCTTTGGATTCAGAGCTAACAATACACAGAGGAAGGTGGGCTGGTAGACAAAAGAGGAGGGATTCAAACTGATCTAACTCCTAACATCAAAAAGGCCTCTGTCTCCTCATTTGTGAAGTGAACAGGCTGGACAGATGTTCCCTAAAGCTCTGATGGCCTTGAGTTCCATGGGAACCAGGAGCTGGGGCTGGGAGTAGGGGTAGCATGGGGCCATGGGGGAGGTGTAAAGACTCATCTGTCATTTCCATCTGCACGGCTCTGCTGTATCTAGGTCTTCATAGCTTAATCGCATCAACATGATGGATGGTTGTAGGACCCAGATTACATTATGGGGTTAATTTATTACATTTTTGAATACCCATTTGCTAGGAGAGTGTTTTCAAAGTTATTTGCATATTTTTCGCCATAATGACAATATGTAGGAGGACATCTGGGAAGGAAGGATGGATGTTTAGGAGAGAGAGCTCTTTTGCCAACTGGAGCAGGTCCCTTGAGGGTCTGCAATGGGGACAGAGAGAAATCACTCCCGAGAGACATTTAAATTGAAACTAGAAGATGAGATGCAAGAAAGTTTTGCAAAGGCTGGGGCCTGCATGGGCAAAGGAGGATTCCTAGGGTTCATGGAACAAACACACACTGAGTGACCTGAGTAAAACAACAGGCAATGAGGTGTCCAGCTCCCAAAGATGCTTTTAAAGGCCCTCCTATACCCACCCAACTAGTCAAGAGACATATCATCTATCACTGCCTAGGGTTCCCAGGACACCAAACACAGGGGTGGGGGAGCCACAGAGAGTCAGCCACAGATAGCCTGGTGACAATCCCACTGACACCCCGACGCTCAGTGACCCAGCCAGCCGGGACACCCCCTGGGCAGAGACTCAGCCTCATTCATTCGTTAGTCTAGCACGTCACCCAGTGCCTGGCCAAATCCAGGTTCTCAATGAGTGTGTATAACTGAGTGGATGAAAGAATGGAGGAATGAAATGACAGCTGACAAGGGCTCATTGCCACTTACCTGACTTGAATCCTAACTTAGTCTGAATGAGGAGCAAAGGGCTTCTGTTTCAGTGCTTGGACCACAGGTGCCGGTGCACAGAGAAAAGTTGCTTTTGAAAATGGAGCAAAGGCTGTGGGATGCTCATTGCAGTTACCCCTGCACCCACCAGGCTGTTCATGTGCCCAACCTGCTACTTCTTTGCCCACTGCTGCCCCTTAACCAGCTGTGAGGCCCTTCCCTCTCTGAATCTCAGTTTCCCCATCTGTAAAACAGAATAATGGTAGCACCAGTTTCATAGGATTGAGCAAGGAATGAGATAATGTGTGTGAAAATATGAAGTGCACATGACTGGCACATAAATGCTCAGTTAATGGCTGTTATTTATGACAATGATATTAAGATCTAACACAGCATCTAAGCCCCTAGAGCAAACAATCTGGACCAGCCATCATGCTCTTCAAAACCCCATCCAGAACACCCTTAGCTGTGCCGCCTCCCCATTTCCATTTCCCAGGGAAGCTGGCAGCCCCCAAGATGCCCTAAGGGAGGACATGCATCCTCATGGCCAGAGATGCCTAACAGACAGGAGAATGCAGCAGACAGACAGCTCCGCTCCTCCTCCCTCCTCTGATCTTCTGGTATGAGGCCTGGCCTATACACCTGCCCCAGATCCCGGAGTCCACTGCTGACCTCAGACCCAAACCAGAGCCCTGACCTCAGGCCAGTAATATTTGATGGCTCCCAACACTTCAGCCACGATAGAGCCCACACACACCAGTCCCTCCCTCCGGGGTTCTGCTGACTCTCCAGTGTCTTTGAACTCTTGTTGGTCTGTGGCACTTTACAGATCGTCTCTTCTTAAACTTTGAACTTCTACCCACAGAAATGCAGAGACGCTACATGTCTTCCACAATTTCAGAGGTTTCTGGGCCCTCAGAAGTCATCCTAGTCCACAGGACAAGAACCCTGGATCTAGCTCAACTGACACTTTAAAAAAAAATAACTGAAATACAATTCACAAACCATAAAGTTCACCCTTTTAAAGTGTGCAATTCAGTGGTTTTAGTGTGTTCACAAAGTTATGCATCAATCACCGCTATTAATTCCACAACACTTTCATCATCCCAGAAAGAAAAACCCCACATATGAACAGTCACTCCCAGCCTCCCCTGTCCCCTTCCCCTGGCAGCCACTAGTCTACTTTCCGTCTCTACAGACCTGAACATTTCACATAAATCAGAAACTATGTGGCCTTTTATGTCTGGCTTGTTTCACTTAGCACAGTATTTTCAAGACTTGTCCAGATTGTAGCATGTATTGATACTTCATTGCTTTTAATGGCCAAATAATATTTCATTGTGGGTATATACTACATTTTGTTCACCCATTCATCAGCTGATGGATATTTATTTCCATTTTGGCCATTCAGCTGTAGGGAAACTGAGGCCTAAAGTCACCATAACCTGGATGGGGTAGGAGTTCAGGCCTCTCCTAACATCCACTTTTTCCTACTGCATTAATCTGGAAGAACCCAGAGAACAGAGTCCAAACAAGGCAAAAGATTACCAGCCCTGGGGAAGAGCCATAGCAGCAACATTTAAACCAGAGTCTGCTATTTTGCTTCCAGTTCAGTGAATGCCTGGCCACAGCTTCATCCTTAAAATGGAGAATTATGCCCTCTGTCCTCCTCCCAGACCCAAGCCACCATTACCTCTTCTCTGTCACAGTCCCTAACTGGTCTCCTTGCTTTTGTCCTTGCCCCACTGTAGTCTATTCTCAACTTCTAGGAATCAGAGTATATTTGCTAAAACCCAAATCAGATCATGTCTCTGCTCTGCTCATAATTCAGTCTATCCTGGTACCCGTCAGACTGATCTTATACTAACAGTAGCAGTTAATTTTTCTAGAGCTTTTCCTATGGGATCAGGACCTTAGAAACATTATCTTCTTACACAAGCCATGGCACTTAATCCTTGAACCCTGAGAGTTAGGGATAATGATGAGTTCTGAGAGGTTAGGTGACTTGCCCAAGGGGATGGTGAATGGCATCAGAAGAGGAGCCCAGGCATCTAGCCTGATTAAGAATGGAGCTCTTAAACCTCTGAGCCATAATTTCAAGAAACAACAGTAGAAATGGAAGCCACCGGGAGAGCTCCGAGTGCCTGGAGAGGCTGCTGCTTCCCGAGCCTGGGTCCCGCCCCACTGCTCTTTGATCTTTGCAGTGCCTGTGGCCCCATTGACCCTGCCATGAGTTATGGGGGCCGCGGGACCCGTAACACAGCATTCCCGAACTCCCAGGGTCCGCGGGACGTGGCGCCCTGCACGGTGATTGATGAGCGGGCCCTAGGCGCTGACTTTGTCAGGAGTGGGCCACGCTGGGAAGCGTCAGACTGACTTTGGACGGGGCGTGGCAAGAGGCGGACCGTGTGTGTGCCTGTGTGTGCGCACTGGGTAGGGGATTGTCTTTATCCTTTCCCTGTGTGTTTGTGTGTGTGTGTGTGCGTTGGGTAGGGGCACTGTCTTTCTTTCCTCGCAGTGTGTGTTGGTAGAGGGGGGCAGTAGTGCGGCTATAAGCGCCCCCAATTCTCACCTAGTAGCGCTTTTAATTCCCCCTATACCCCCACATCGAAGAGCGCTCTCTCCTAGAATCTGCCTCACAATCTGAACACTTTCCGAGGCTACAAAGGCCCCGCCGTGCCCCGTTCCGCCTCCCGCACACCGGGCATTTTTCCGTCCCATTTGACAGCCTAGGCGGAATAATCCTTTTGGGGACCAGCGGGCCCCTGCATGGCCAGACGTGGCGGCAGCTGAGCTCAGCTCCGATCCATTGTTGGGGTCCACCAGGGACCCCCTGCCGCAGCCCTTTGTTGCCCGCTCCCGGCGGGGCCGCTCCTGATGCGCCGCCGCTGCCCGCGCCCCTCCCGTCCCGCGCCCCTCTGGCAACTCCAAGGCTCCTCATACGCACCGGGAGGAGTGGGCGCGCCTTGCCCGGTGCCCGCACGGCCGCCCGGCTGCGCCCGCCTTTGTCTGCCTCCTTTGTCTGCCCCGCGCCCTCGCGGCGGCGGCGGCGGCCGGGCCTCTGGGGAGCGGACCCGGAACGCCGAGCGCAGCTGGCGAGGGCGCGCTGGCCGGGAGCGCGCGGGGCCCGGCCTGGCCAGGGCTGCCCCTCCGCTGGGGGGCGGCGGAGCCCGCCGCTCGCCGCCCTCCCCGCCCCCTCCCCGCGCTCCCGCCCCGCTCTGCCCCGCCCCGCCTGCCGCCTCCCCCTTCCCTCCAGCCCAGCTCAGCCTGGGCACATCCTCCCACCGCCCGCGCACCTCTCCGCACAGTCCCCGCTTCGCGGCTCGGGCCCCGGCTGCCCTCGGCTCCCTCAGGCGTCGGCCTCGCGCCTCTCGACCCCCGCCCCGCCGGCAGGACAGGTAAGGCTTGGCCTTGGCCCGCCCCTGGCCCCGCCCTCCAGCCTCACCTGGCTCCGCGCCCGGACAAAGGTGGGCAACCTGGCGCGCTCAGGGACGGGGCACGCGGGGCGCAGAGGCTGGAGGTGAGGAGGCCTCTCTCTTCTCCGCCTCCCTGCCGTCGGACCCGTCGGTCAGCCGCCTTCGCTCCCTCCGCGTCCCACCCCGGCCCCCGGCGGGGCTCCCCGCCTCCTCGTCCGCCCACCTCCCGCCGGCCGCGCACTTTCCTGCGCGCTGACACTGTGCTCGCGCGCGCCCTGGCCGCCCTCTCCGGGGTCTACCCTCGTCCGCTGTCCTCCGCCCTAGCTTTCTCCTTCTGGGACCCGGTCTCTCTTTGTCTCTCTGTCTCTGAGTCTCTGGGTGGCCTCTCAGATCTGGAAAATGGACTGGGGAGTCCGCCGCCGTTGGAAGAAGCCTCGAAGACTCACTCCGAGTGCCCTCATGCCCTCATGCCCCTTTCCGTTATGCCCAGGGGGCTGGGGTGTGTTGCAGGGAATGGGGAGCTCAGGGCGCCCACGCCAGCACCGCCAGTGGCCCCGTGCCCTCCTATCCGACCCCAGGCCAGCGCCTTGCCCCAGCAACCCCGATGGCACCGGGCTGCCCTCTCACGTCCAGCTCAGCCCCTCTTCGTCCCCACTGCCCGCTTTTCTCTTTGCTGGCAAGAGGGTTTCAGCCGCCTGTGGCGGCGGCGGTTTGAGACCAGAGGGATCTTGGGTTTCCCGCCAAGTCTGCTCCCGTCCTCCACTCGGTGCTCCCGCAGCCTCGCCTCCCTCTGGTCTCTCCTGGACAGCGCACTCCACGCTGTCCCCACCTCCCAGGCTGCTGGCACGCAGAATTGTCCCGGCCTGCGTTCAGTACCACCCCTCTGCGGGCAGGCTGAGAGGATCTGGGAGTGATCCTGGACAAAGGAACACACTTCTCTGAGTTCAATGTGCCCTTCAAAAAACCGAGAGAATACACCTGCCTGTAGGGGTGTGGGTGCGACAGTCAATAATGCCTGCTGGATGCCAGCATGGTGTATACCCTCGGTGCCAAGGGGGAGTGTACATCCCCAGATGGGGTCGGGATGCGGCTCCACAACAAGGAGAAAATGGATCAAAAACTCAGGGCTTAGAGACCCTGCAGAGAAACCTGACTCTGGCCCTGCCCCACATCACCGCACCTCCTCCTACCCATACAGGAGTCACACTTTTACAGGCACCTTCTCTGACTCCTCCTCTCTTCTTGTCCTAAAGTCAGAGTTTTTTTTTTTTTAAGGGTAAAGGGTCTCTGCTTTCAAAATGAGACAAGTGTGGCTGTGCTGATTTTGCCAAGAGCCACTCATTCATCATGAGGCATCCATGTGACTTACTCCCAATTCCAAACCTCTGTCTTGCAGTGATTTTTTTTTTTTAATGGCACTAGCTCACAAGCCATTTCTTTTCCTCTGGGTGATGGTTCTGCTGGATCCTGGACCTGGGCTGTGTCATTGCCCAAACCCTCTAGCCACCATCTATGTCATCTTAACAGGTGACACACATGCCACCTCAGGAGTCCAGCCATGATATGTGCCAAGTGACTTAATGAGGGCCACGTCAGAAGAGGAAAACCTCCTGGCTGGCAAGTTCTGGGCTGCCCTGGCTGAGTTTTTGTTCTCAGGCACAGCCAGGGCAGGCAACTATAGGCTGTCTCTTTAGAGACCCAAGAATGGGACGGAGGACACACGCACACTCCCTCCGGCCTCCTGCTCATGATCCTGCACGATCATGCCTTGGTGACCCCAGGGCCTTCCTACCGTCTCTGCCCCCTGCCTTCTCTGGCCACCGCCTTCCTCAGGAAGGCCAGCTCAGCAGGCCCTGTGGCCTCTACCAACCTTGCTCCAAGCCTCCTTCCCCTTCATCCACATGAAAATGACGGCGTTTTCTCTGCCTTCCTCTTCACCATTCAGACAGCTCCCTCTCCCCAGCCCTAAACCCCTCAGTGCATCCCTGTTGCCGCTCAATTAACTATTCTACCTGCCTCCCACCACATCCCCAACCTCATCTGCCATGACGGAGGGTTGAGCATTTCTATGCCCTGACTTCTCTGAGCTTTGTTTAGGCCTCCTTCTCTCCATCTGAAGTGCGTCCCTGTTCGGTGTTCAGTCAAAGCCTTCCCAGCCTTGCAGGTCAAGGTCAGATGTCCCCTCTTGTAGGAAGCCTCCTGATCCCCCCCTTCCCCCACTGTCTCTTGCGGTCTGCACATCCCTGGGCAGAGCTGGGTCATATTCATTTGTGGTCCCAGGGCCTGATGCACAGTAGGTGTTCTGTGCATACTTGTTCTATTGAGTGGAAATCTTGGTCAAGGGGACAGGAATGACCTGGAAATTGCAAGACACAGGTTATCCCTAGGTCCTGCTGGCCAGCCCAGGGTAAGAGCTGGCCCTGGAGCAAAGGACCATGACTGGTGAGGTTGGAGGGGAAGCAAGCTTTCTGGTAAATCCCTCTGGTACTGGGCACTCCGCATCCCTCTGGAAGGTGAGGATGATTTCTGTGCCTGATTATAGTAGACGAAACAGTCTAGACAGTCCCAACTTGGGCAGCCTCCACACTGCAGCATGATGGCCTGGCATGGGCCATCTGGAACATATGGATGGGTGTGGGGGTACAAGGGATGAGACCCCTACTAGAATCTAGAGCAGTTGGGATGAAGTAATTGTAGAATTTAGGAGTTTTTAGGGGCCCTTTGTGTGCCAGGCTCATCTCTGAGAGTCACAGCATATCTGCACTAGTATTGGCCACTGAGTATAACTGAAGAGTGGTCAGAACCCTGCCTTTAGAGTAAGATGGCCACGGGTTCAAATCTGAAAAATGTTGCCCCCTCCAAAGGGCTGAAGTAGATTGTGCATATAAAGCTCTAGGCATAGATTATTAAATGCCCAATAAATGATACCCAAATAAACATTCATCTTTCACATATGGGACTGAAGCCCAGAGAAGTTAATTGACTTGCCCAGAGTCACACAGCTATTAAGTGCAGGAGCCAGAATTCATACCCAGGCTTGTCTGACTACTGGTGTCTTTCCACTCAACACTGGCCTCTGCCAGAGCCCACAGCAGGCATTTTGTCAGTTGATGATTAAGTGATGGGTTTGACCAAACAGCAAGTGGTGTTAAATTGGGCACTAAAATAATGGAATTTGGGGAACAGGGGGCCAGGAGGATTGCTTAGGAAAGGAGGAGGAGGGGTGGTGAGGTACCTGTAATGTAACAGGTAGGACTCCCGTTTAAGAGGTTAAGTGTGAGATACTGGGATAGAGGAGCACAAAGATGGAAGCCTCCAGGTTGGGGCAAGGGTGGGGGGCTCTGAGGATCCCCCAAACAACACCCCTACACAGGTTTTTGAGGTGTGAGGCTTGGGTGGGGGTGGATTCCCAAGCCTGCTGTTGCTGGAAACAATAAAAGCAGATGGGCCGCCCCTGCGGGGAAGCCAAACATCATTTGCCAAGACAATGGTTCTCTCCAGGATGGCCTGGGCGGGTCCTGCCCCGCCCTATGCAGGCCATAGATCACCCACAGGGGAAGAAGGACATGGCCACTTGCGCCTGCCCTCCTGCACACATTGGCACAGATGCACAAATGCCTCCAGGAACACCCCAACCTCAGTCCCCTCCCCATAATAACAATGGCCTTACTGGGTGTCACTCACTTTATATATCTTCACCTCACCTAATCCTCACACCCACTGAGGCTCAGAGGGGTCAAATGACTTGTCCAAGGTCACACAGCTCTTCCCACTCTGCTCAGTGGGGCTTTCCTGTGTTGGCCTGATGGGTTTAAGCTGACATCTGTGTTTGACCCGTCCTAGTTCTGTCTGTGCCTCAACCTCCCATTAGACTTGTGGCCTCTCCCCCAGGCCAGAGTGGGGACACCTGGAGGACAGGGACTGTGTCCTTACCCCGAAAATTAGAAGCCCTCTCCAGCAAAGAGTAACTTTTCTCCAAATTCTGGAAATTCCAAGGCCAAAGCTGTGTCTCTCCTATCAGACTGGGAAATCCCTAACGGCAGAGGCTTGATCTCCCTTTTAGACTGGAGGCTTCCCTGGGGCAGGAGCTGCTTTCCTTGCTTCCACGGAGAGCTCCCTGGGGACGGGAGCTGTGTCTATCTCATCAGTGTAGGATCCGAGGCAGGACCTGGATCCCCCCTGTCCCACCGGGAGCTCCCTGGGGCCAGGGCTATTGTTCCTAATAGGACTGGCAATTTTCAGGATCAGGGACCAGGTCTCCCCCCTTCAGGCTGGAACAGATTCCTTTGCATGGCATCCAGGTCCCGCACAGAGGGGCTCAGCAAGCAGGACCACCCAGTGCCACGCTCCCTGAAAGTCTCCACTGCAAAGAAGCCCTTGGTGCTCCGCAGGCTGAGAGGCAGGGCTCTCTGCACAAGGCTGGGTCAGCACAAAAGTTTGTGGAGGGTCACCCCCAGTTACAAAGGAGGACAGGGCAAGGCAGGGCTCCTCCAGAAGCGAGGGAGGGGAGGGGTTGGCCCTGGAATGGGGTTGCTATGATCACATATTGTGTTTTGTTTCATGTTTAAGGTATTCTCTGAATTTATGCTGCCTCGGTACATGTTCCTTCTCCCTGGAGGTTCATTCCAGACCCTGGAGGATGTTATTTGTCATCTCTCCCCACAGGGGACTGTCAGTAGGACAGACAGGCAGATGGAGGAATCTTGTCACTTTGGATCAGAAATTCCCAGGTCCCCCTTGGCAGACAGAGACCACCTAACGCAATGACACCATGGTTTTCTTCCCCTATTACCCCACTCCAATTTGTGTGAGCAGTGCTAATAATCATTTCCCATGAAATCTTATCCATGATCCCAGTACGTGAAACCAGTAAAGACAGTGTTTTCGGAGCAATGGAGCATGCCCCCCCACACCAATTATCCTTGCCCCAAATCAAAATTGTCTCTATTTTAGCAGACACCACTTCAAGCCCTGCTTGCTGT